GGATTTCAAGGGTGGACTGCACCGAATTTAAGTCGAGGCGCGAGTAGCTGGGGTTCACCATCGAAAAGGCTCTGGTGCCCATATCGTGGTCCGGGTGCTCCGGCAAATCCCGGTCCACCTTGTACGCGCCGGGGCCTGGCTCGAAACATGTCTATATCCACCTAGGGACCAAAAAATTGGAAATTCACAGCCCAAAAGGGGAAATTCACATGGAAACCTTCCTCTGTGAGCTTGTTTGCCCTGTGCAGAAACAGAATTGAGCAAACCCAAGTGATGTCCTTGTCCGGTCAGTGCCTCTTCCAATGGGCAGTTGCCAACGGTTTAAGCATGAAGACATAGCGATTATTGCTTCCCTCAATCGTCCAAAAACCAGACTGTCAAACACATGCTGACCGTGTCCCTTTGAGCCAGGAACGCGGCATAGTGCTGGATCCATCCACTGCATAGAGCCTCTGTTGAATGTTAGGCCCATCAAAGGCGCTGCTTAGCAAACCCTGCTGTAAAAAAAGGTCCAAGTCGCAGGCCGACTCACTATTGTGCCTCAGTGAAGGAGTATGTATGAGTTGCATAGGGAAAAGCACTTAGGTAGGCGCAATGTAGCACATTGGCAAACGGCAAAAGCATGAGTACGTAGATACAGCCTAGATGCCCAGGAGAGCAGCTCTGCTCACAAGCAATTCTGTATCACCTGACTACAGCCCCTCAAAAGACACAAAACAATCACAGCATCTTACTTGCGAGCGGACAAAGTGGACAGGAGACGATCATCCTGCAAGGCAACATGGTTGCTCCCATTTGCGCAACTCCTTACAATCCACGAGCTGAACATAAATTTGACGTATGAAGTCTCCAAATTAGCCGTTTCATGCAAAACAAAAGCATTTCACACTTTGGTCTCAGAAATGGATCTGCGACCTTCTAACTGCAGCGCTTCATGTTAACAAGCCCCCATTCAAGTTTGGCGTGTGCAAACTATAACCGGCCTAATTGGCGTGGATTACCTCGGGTCTTGGCCAACACCTATGCAGCCAAGTATGATTCGCCCCGGCCCATTCCAGTAGTATAAGGCAGTGTATCTCGAACAATCTCGAACAGCAAGCAAAACCTCCCTGCCCATTGGAGGGACTTTTCTACTATAGTCTTGAGACATGACCACATGACTACCAAACGTGCCCAACAAGGTTTTACCGGAAACCCACAGGAGCCCATCGATCTGCAAAACCAATCGGCAACGGTCCACCCAAACAACCAAGGTGTCTGGTTCTAACTGGGGCTAGGGCAATGATTTTCTTTTCGAGCGACTCAACGAAGGGTGTCATAGGAAGAGTCAAATAGTGACTTTTCATCATGCACCTCTTGCACTGTCGATATACAAACAACTTTGATATGGGGCAGGCATGACAAACATGTTTCGGCAAAGGACTCAACAGCGATAGCCTGGCAATATTGTCCTTTCAACTGAAAGGCTTGCCTGACTAGGTTCTCTCAAACTGCCCAATTGCCCCTGGCGGATATATATATATATATATATGTGTAATATATTGCGGGGTCCGACCAAATTTTGGAGAGACAGCTGCCACATAGAAAGGGGTTAGCGTGGATTCCACCAGAGCGCAAAACCCGCCTGGAAGCTTGGCATTCTCCGCGGTCTTAAAGCGGCTGTCTGTGCCGATCTTGTGAGTCACCTTGAGGACACTCCGATTAGCCAAAAACCAAAATTGCACGTAGTAAATAAATGATAACCAGTGATTCAAGGGAGCTACATCCACTTGTCCTGAGTTATTCCTGCGAGCGATTTATTGAATGGACTGTTTATTGCAGACAGGGGCTGCTTTTCTTCACCAGTTTGGCACTAAAGGTTCCCGATGCAAACATCACCACGGTTGCATCTAGCTTGCCCTGTTTTGGGTGGGCAACACCTTGCTTCAAGTGGCGAGCTGTGCTTCTGCTGCCCCGTTGCCCCAAACCCGGTTGCATAGGCAAGGATGTTTGGGACCCGACCTTCCGGACTCGCACCCTCGGAGTCCCAAAGCAATTTGGAGCAAGTTGCCGAGCGCCGGTGCTCCGAGAAGTTGCTGAGCCAGTTGCCCAGCTGATCAAACTCCTGGGCGCCACAGGCACCAAAATATGTTCGAAACCCAGCGCAACTCCTTCAGATGCGATTTAGATCAGATTAGATTTAGATAGACAGACAGAAAGATAGAGGTAGATAGATAGCTAGGAAAGAGAGATTCATATGATATGCTAGAGAGACAACGAGGTAGATAAGATAGGTCGAGTGCACACATAGACAGGGAGAGAGAGAGAGAGAGAGAGATAATAAATAGACAAATAGATAGATAGCGGGAGAGGAGACAAACAAATAGATCGTTAGATAGATAGATACATAGATAGACAAACAGACAGAAAGACAGATAGATAGATAGAAAAGTAGGTAGGTAGGTAGGTAGGTAGGTAGGTAGGTAGGTAGGTAGGTAGGTAGGTAGGTAGGTAGGTAGGTAGGTAGGTAGGTAGGTAGGTAGGTAGGTAGGTAGGTAGGTAGGTAGAGAGATAACCAATTAGATAGCAGGTGGATAGCTAGATAGATATGAAAGAAAGAAACAAAGGAAGAAAGAAGCAAGCAGTAAATCAGAGGAAATTCGAAATGAATAAGAGATGCAACGAAATCAATAGTGGACGCAGGCAGGAAACTAAACCATGATAAAACAGAATCAATAGAGGAAACAATAAACGATGACAAACAACAAGAACAGACACTGAAAGAAGGAGAGAAAGACCAACATACTGTAGTCACACTTTCATATGTTAAAAAAAAACAAGAACAAAAAAACGCCTACCGGTTTCGCCGGCTCTACTGGTACCTTCTCAAAAGAACCCTAGCCTGGTTGTCTAAGCCAATTTTGCCATACTCTGCGCTTGGAAGCGAATTAAAACCTGCATGCAACTTTGACAGCGGCTTGGCCAACTTCAGACTAGCATCCCCGAAGACAAATGAATCCACCAGATTGAAGAAGCCTTCCTGCGCGATCCTTTATCAGGCACAGTTTGGAGACACCATGGGCTTGTTTATCTGTTGGGCCCAGGAGTCTGTGGGGACTATCAGGAACTATTTACAGAAACAGAAGTATAGACAGTATAGAGCAGTTTGTTGAAAACTTGTGGAGCAATGCCCTTAGCTTCGCGAACCCAAACGCCAAGCAAGACAAGCCGATTCACAGCTCGGACACCACAACAAGATCACACGGATTGTTCATAGAAGAAAGGCTGACAGTCTTGGAACCAGCTTCAGAGCAGTTCAACCATAAAGAACAGTTGAGCTCATTCCCATATGGTCAATGCAATGTTGAACACCCGTCCTGTGAATAGCTGGAAAAACCCTCTTACAAGTGATGAAACCCCACTGAAAGGGGACACCTACAACTAATAAACCATCCCATGGATCAAATACCACGGCAAATTCCGCTGGCTTTCTGGTCCTGCCGCTCGCATGAAATCCCTAAAAGGGCTCTCAGATTTGACCCTGAAACCTGGAGAGCGAACTCAGCATCGTGTGAAGCTGAGCCAAGCGTCCGGATTGCGGTAGTTCAGCATGTGGCATACGCCTGCAGAGTCCAACATACTCATTCCTGTGATACCAAGGTGGACCATCCCTGTGAGTACTTTACTCCAAAAGGCTTTAGGGCAAACATCTTTGATGCTCTTGGCAAGGAAACTTGCCCTAGCTCTGCCAAAGAGCCATGGCCTGAGTTTCAAAGGTCTCGGCCTGAGCCTTTTCCATGCATCCCTCTCCATCAGCCCTGAGCCTTTAGCTGGACACGTCCAGCCACAACTGGACCCTCAGCTTGTCCCTTAGCCCGTGGCAAGAGACACCAATGGAGTGCGGACACCATGAGTACAAAGCCATTGGCGGGACATGGGAAGCAAACTCGCCCTACCAGAAGTCAACAAAAAAACACAAACAACTGGGAAAGCCCTCACAGGAGGGTAGCAGCGCCTCACCAAAGAAACTGCCAGGGAAACCCAGGGCTGGTTTAGGGTTGATACAGTGTGAGTTTAGGGTTGGTTTTGGGCCGTTTAGGATTGCTTTGGGGGTGGTTGAGGAGGGAGCGGTTAGGCCCGCTTTAGGTTTGACTTACCGCGGTTTCGGGTTGGTTCAGGGTTGGTTTATTTAGATTGCTTGATTGCTTGCTTGTTCCCCTCCTTGCTGAGTATAGGGTTGGTTTAAAGGGTTGGTGGCATTCTTCTTTGCTTGCTCGCTCGCTTGTTACACCTGCTTCACAGAACGCCGTGTAAATTCCACGCAAAACTAGCTCACCCCATTTTGAGACAACCCATATCGGAATGGACACATTGGAATGTCAGCCCTTGGCACGGAAGACTTGTGCTCGGGCCCCCTTCCCCAGCCCGCCTCTTGGCCTCGCGCCCGGATGGGGTTTTCCCACCGGCCCGAGCCCGGCTGGCGGAGGCTAGCGGTTGAAAAACGTCGAATTGGCAGATTTGCTCGTCTCCTCTGCTCGTCCCTGAGCAAGCCAGCTTAAGGTTTTCACTGGCTCGTTCTTCAAGCTCCTATGAAGATAAACAGCTTCTGTTTTCCCTTACAAGGATTCCTCTAAATTAGTGGACCCGCAAGGGGGCTGTGGCCCCTCCCCTCTCCAAAGCCCCCCTTTTGAGGGTCTATGATAGAGCTTCTGCTTCCCGAGTCTGACCACGGACAAAACGCACGAGATATGCTGCGGCCGAGGGAGACCCCACCAACCCCCTGCAAATCACAGCAGGTTGACAAAAAGGTTGGCATGACCTCCGTTTGCCACACTACGCACAATTGACTCAATTGACTCAATGGGGACCCCGAAAGCGTCTCCGCAACCAATACAAGCACATTCCCATTCCATGGAACATGCCCAAGGCGACTTCTGAAAGGGTCACACCGTTTCTGGATCCTCCCATTCCGACCCATTCACACATGTATGTTCCCATGCGCGCCAGCCCCACTCGCCGGCCTCCCCCAAATATTCCTCAGGCGATCGCCGGATGGTCCGTTTCGGTTGGGTGTGGTCCTTGCAAGATTCTTTTCTTGGGTTGGCCTTGGCGTTTGATTCACCAACCACCTCAACTTAGACACCCCTAAAAATCCCAACCAGAAGCAAACTCAGAGCACATGCACACCTGATAACCACGGGTGCTACTGAAAGCAAACACTGGGAAACAAGAACTCAATCGATGATTCCTAGATGTCCGCCAGGACAGGAAGGTACATCCCCAATGGCCTACACCTTAATGCTTTGCAGCTCTTCGGCAGGCGCACATTTCGCAAGTATGGCACAATTTGTTCTCCATATTCTCAGGGACCCGAACAACAAATAGGCCATGCAACCTTTCAAGTGTGAGAACACCACGATGTACTTCACGTGGCTTGGGAGTCTCTGCCTGTATATGGGTGTGGCATGGTGTGGCTCGAAATTAAACAGCTGGGGTTACGCAGGCTTTAGTCTTTGCTTCCATGTACCGTGCCATTTTCGCACAGGTTTTTGAGCCGCAGCCATATAGCTCAAGCAGTTCTCACCCCCAAAGCAGTCTGCCGTTGCCTCAGCTCCTTGAAACAGGTGGCATCAGAAATCCCCCGCGCGAACTGAGGTCAACGACCTACTTTTTGCAGCCCCATGCCTTGGTCCCAAGCGAGCTGCATGCTGTTAAACCACCTACCCCAGCTAGAACCAATTAAACAGAGGGCACAAATGACCCATATCCGGGTAGCCCTACCCATGTTGATCTCCACAGTTCACATCATGCAACCCCAAAAACCACCATGTTGACAGGAATCTTCTTGCCACCCTCCCCTTTGTTGGGTTTCATGACCATTTGTGGGCGGGGGCGGGACCCGTACACCCCGAATCCTTCACACGGGGTGCCGACGGAGCCCAGGTCCGTGCCAAGCCGCTGTGCCTGGCTCGGAGCCAAAGCACCGGCCCTGGCGCGCTTTCTCCGAGACGAATTCTGCGCCAAAATCGCAGGAGCTCAATCCTACCCAGAGGGTGCAAGTTCCAATGGATGCACTAGACCCCTTTCGAACCCCCAAAACCCATCCTCAAAGGGTAATTACTTGGACTCTCTGGGCTTGGCGGGTGTGGATTTTGTCGGACAGCGTGAAAGCTAGCTGCGCCACTTTTCGTTTGCGAGCAGGTTCCTTGAGCCCTGCAAACCTTCAGAGATGCGCAGTAGGAAGGCCCTGTCATCCCGTAGGTCGCTCGAGCTTAACTTGCCTGAGGCCCCTAAAATGTTTTTTTTCAGCACCACTTGGAAAAATGATGTTTTTCCAGCACCAGATCGGTTTTTTAGCACCAGGACGGCTTTTAGAACACCAAGGTGATTTCGCAACACCCATTTTTAGTTTTACGAAAAATGTACGACATGCGAACGGTTCGCGAACGGTTTGCGAACGGGTTTTGAACGGGTTTTGAACGCTTTACGAACGGTATTTCCAACACCAAATCCTAGGCACGGCCCATGTCATGACGCAAAAAGAACGTAAACATGCAACGGATTATGCAAAAAACAACGCAATCGATGGATTCCCAGCAAGCGACATCAGCAACATAAGGTTCGGTCTGCTCCGCAAGCCCGAACGGTTTTTGTAGCACCAGTGTTGAAATTTCAACACCAAGAAGGCAAAACGATCATTTTCCTGAAAATCGATCAAATTCAACAGTTTTTGGGGCAGCAGGTAGGGTCTCCAGCGGGCCGTTGAGGCGAAACTGCTCGAGCAAAGGCTTCCCAGCAATTTCCCCAAAATTCAAAATAAAATTAAAAATGCTTAGCTTCCCCAGCAAAGAGGTCTGTCTTTGAGCGGTTTTGCCGCCTTGGCACTATTTGCATGCGGGCTGTCACCAGCTTCCATGAACTGATGTCTACAGGTGTCCTCGCAGTGAAGGATCCCCTCGCGTAAGGGAGTATGGGGTTGATTGATAGCTTCCCATTCTGGCTGCTTGAGAAAGGGTGAGGGACCAAAAAACAACTTTTTAGGCATCAAACAAACTTATCTCTAAAGATCAAAAAACTTTATTAGGGATCAAAAACTTTTCTCATTGATTTACTATTAAAAATGAAAAATCAGAAGATCAAAGCAAACTTTATAGGGATCAAAAAAACTTATTCATTTCGGGGCAGGCGAAGCACTTTCGCAAGGTCAGGTACAGATTTCAAGGCACGCGCGGCACTTTCGCAAGGTAGGCGCAATGCTTTCGCAGGTCAGGTGCAGATTTCGCGGCAGGCGCAGCGCTTTCGCAAGGTGCGGTACAGATTTCGCGGCAAGCGCAGCACTTTCGCAAGGTCAGGTGCAGATTTCGCAGCAGGCGCAATACTTTCAGAAGGTCAGGTACAGATTTCGCAGCAGGCGCAGCTCTTTAGCAAGGTCAGGTACAGATTCGCGGCAGGTGCAGGACTTTCGCAAGGTGCGGTCCAGATTTCGCGGCAGGCGCAGCACTTTCGCAAGAGGCACTTTCGCAAGGTACGGTGCAGAGTTTGACGAAGGCGCAGCATTAAATCAGCGAGGGGATTGGGGGGGGGGGACGGCGTGCGGTAAGCTCTGTAAGCATTCTACAAATCAGCAGGGGGGTTGGGGGGCAGCCCCCCCCATGATGTTCGAAGAAGTGATGATTCAACAAAGGGTGGTGATGATCGAAGTGATGATTCAGCAAAGGGTGCGCTAACCACTGTCAACCTTCTACAAATCAGCGGGGTGAGGAAGGTCAGGTACAGATTTCGCAGCAGGCGCAGCACTTTAGCAAGGTCAGGTACAGATTCGCGGCAGGTGCAGGACTTTCGAAAGGTGCGGTCCAGATTTCGAGGCAGGCACAGCACTTTCGCAAGAGGTACCAATTTCGCGGCAGGCGCAGCACTTTCGCGAGGCGCAGCATTAAATCAGCGGGGGGGTGGGGGGGGGGGCCCCCATGATGATCGAGGAAGTGATGATTCAACAAGGGGTGCGGTAAGCTCTGTAAGCATTCTACAAATCAGCAGGGGGGTTGGGCGGGGCGGCAGCCCCCCCCCTTGATGTTCGAAGAAGTGATGATTCAACAAAGGGTGGTGATGATCGAAGAAGTGATGATTCAGCAAAAGGGTGCGTTAATCACTGTCAACCTTCTACAAATCAGCGGGGTGGTTGGGAGGGGCGGCAGCTTCCTTCCTTCCTTCCTTCCTTCCTTCCTTCCTTCCTTCCTTCCTTCCTTCCTTCCTTCCTTCCTTCCTTCCTTCCTTCCTTCCTTCCTTCCTTCCTTCCTTCCTTCCTTCCTTCCTTCCTTCCTTCCTTCCTTCCTTCCTTCCTTCCTTCCTTCCTTCCTTCCTTCCTTCCCTCATAGGAATGAGCATAAGTTTTTGTTTAGTGCCTAATAAGCTTTTTTGGATGCCTACTAAGTTTTTTTGATGCATAATAAGTTGTTTGTTGATGCCTATCCCCTTGAGAAACATGTTCTCCAGCTCCTTCAGCTTGGGCCAGGCTTTCAAGGGAAAGCCGCTCCACTGAGGCCCGCAGTTCAGTCAAGGAGAACAGGTGAACAACCCTTGCAAATCAGCGCAGAGGCCTGGAAGGCGCCAACTAAACATTTGGACGAGAAACAAACAGCCTCTTCAGGGAGCTGAGCATCAGTATGCGGACGTTGCCCGCCAGCGCAATCGGCAGTGACAGCAACGACCACCACCTTAAGCACAGCAAGCAGCACCCTGACCCGCACCAGCATCCTTGCCTAAGCACCGCCAACGGCCACTGCACCTTGAGAACATCAAAAAGCACCCACACCCGAAACAGCACCCTGAACAAGCACTGAAAGCCACTTCAGCACACACACACACACACACATGCGCGCACACCACCACTCTGCATCACAAAACAAGCAAACAGCATCCTGACCACAGCCTGCCCCTCTTTGGAAGTAAGAACCTTTCACAATCCCTCATAGCTTTTGGTTGCCTGGGGAACGAGAACCCCTATCTGGGGGACAACGCCTAAAGCGCGCAAACAGCGCCACGCGAGTCACCGCCATAGCACCTTATGCTTACAAAAAGCACCTCAAAGTACCTGACCAGCAGCAACCTCCAAATAACCACCAGCACAGCACCAAACAGCACCAAACAGCACCAAACAGCACCAGCACCCTGTCCAAAAACCCTGTCCAGCACCCTGACCAGCACCCACCCTGACTGCAGCGCCAAACAAGCACCGCCAGACACCACCGCGGAACCTTGAGGACAGAAATCGCACCCTGACCAGCTGGGGAACAAAAAGGGAAGGATATGGAAATTCTGATTGCCCTGGCCTCTTGGCCCTCGCGCAACCTGGTGATGACTCCATGAGATTTTTCGGCACGCCTGGGGAGAGAGTGCCGGCGATGGCGGCAACGTCCTGGGCGGGGGCTGGCCCCACAATATCTCTATTCAGAGCCTCAGGAATGTACCGAACCCTGGAAAGAGTAATCTTAACCCCGGATTAATAAACCCCTGGTTGATTCATAGGGGGCTGTCCCCTTTTAGTGGGGATTCATCACTTTTGGAGGGAACACCCCCCTAATAACGAGAAGGGTTTATTAATCCTGGGTCAACATTAGCAACCTCAAATTGGACCCGGCGCTTGATGTACCTGGACGCTATCAGCACCTTTGCTGACAAGCAGGTGGCGAAAGCCAACCGCACTTGCAAACCACCTGTGACGCCAAACAAAACTGGCTGCAGAAACGTACATCTCTAGCGGCGGCGGTTGTGGGCACATGCCAAATCACGCAGCCTGCATAGAATAGCCAATGAAGTGCATAGCTCTCTGAAATGACAACCACAGATTTGTAGTTACAACTGACGTCCCGAATGTTAGAACACTCTTTACCTATTAGCACGCGAATAGGCAATGTGGCCTCCGCTGGACTCAGATGACAATGTCAACAAATGATCATAACTGCCCCTGCCTCAAGCCTGCGCTGGATGGACGGACAGGCCACTTGCCCTCTTGCCCTGAAAGTTTGACAGATGTTCGGTTTGAGACCGGGCAAGAAGCTTCACAACGTAGTATTTACTCGTTGACCCATTCATCCACCCCGGATTCACTCACCAGGGAGTGCTCCCTTTCAGAGGAATCCTTCCCTGTTGGGAGAAGCACACCCCATTTTTTCTGCGACTGGTATACTTCTCCGAGGTCCTTACGGCACCAAAACGGTAACCAAGATTGGGTTGCAACCAGGTGCTTGAGACCGGAAAACCGGTGTGGAGGTGCTAGCCTGCCAGCCCTGAGCACCCTTCCGTGTCCAACGAGCTGGCGGTCCCCGATCAGTGTGCGGGGAGGGGAGCAGTCCAAGGGCACAGAGCAACGTTCGTCACTCGCCAGTTTTTCTGCAAGACAAGCTGGCTGTTCAGGAGACCCGGATGGAACCTCTAACTATTGTTTTCTTGGGTGGCCTTGGGTTTCGGGCCTCAGGCACATAGCCAGTTCCAAAGTCACCACTGTCAAGCAACCAAGTACACGGTCCAAAAAATGTCCGGACAGGCCATGGGATTCGGAGCGCGTAAGGCTTCAGAGGCCCTTTGCCAGGTTTCCGAGCAAGCCCCAAAAAAGCTAGGTATGGAAGCCAAGAGAAAAACATTTTCTGGGTCAAACAAGAGTATTCCAAGAACATCCAGGCTGTAGTAGGCTCTTGGGGCTTTGAGCGCGTGCCAATAGGCCAACCCAAGCCGACTGACGGGACAAGCCAAGTCACCTATCAGTGCGAGCCGTGACGGGCTCACCCTCACCTTGCGCATCCAACAGCAACGCTTTCTGAGATAAGATGGGCAAATTTCACGACTACTTTGTTCGCTGGGATTCCCTTAGAACCTGCCCCACCCTGTCCAAAGCACAAGATAGCGGCCTTGCAAAGGTTGCAAAGAGGGCTCTCAGCCAAAATGGTTCCCCCGAAACATGATTTATGCATGGTGCACCTGCATGAGCACAAACACGGTCTTCCAACACCCTGTGACATGAAGCACCCTGGGCTCATCCCTGCCTTTCTTTTGCCAGTGTTGAATCAATCGTCTTGGACAAGTTTTGAGGGATACTGTGCTCACCCAACCAAGCGCCAAGGATCCCGATGGATGAGCTCCCCATGTCCGGATCCAGTGCCCGCAGGGCCAAACAGAATGCATCCGCATCCCAAAGGACGCGAGGGCCCAAAAGCCGAGCATGCTGGCCAAAAGAAGGAATGATGTGCAAATGAAAGGTGGCCACCAAGGCCATAGGAACCAAAGGTAGGCACCTTGGCTTCTGGTGGCCAATTCAAACGACCCAACAGTTCCTAGATGTTCCTAGGTTGATTCGCGCTGGGACTCGTGAGGAAGCAGAAATCCACTGGAACAAGTACCTTTGACCGAAAATCAGTTCAGATGAGTTACCGAGCGGACTCCTAGCAGGGTTGGCTACTAAGTGCCACCGACGCCAGCGAATGTCCTGCATTCTACTTGTGCATCGTTCGATTTAGGGGGAAAGCCGTTGAAGGGAACATCACCTTGGAAACATGAGTAGGGGGTTTTAGCACATGCTCCGCAGTGTCGCAACCAGCAGCTGTCCGACAAGCGAAACGTCTGAGCAGAAGCTAACACTTGCCGGTAGGCAAGAGAGGGGCGTTTAAGGGTGCACCAAGCTTTTGGGGCTTAGTATAATCAAGCCAGCTTGTCTTTGTGACGTGTGGCGCCTCAAATTCTTAGACTGTGTGAGTTGGCTTTAGCTGTTTCCAGTTGTTTGAATACGTTTCTAGTAGTCGTGATTCTTGTTGATCAAAATCGACTTAGACTTCCCTAGGCTGTGATTGATCGAGGCCTTAGATGCTGGTTGGAATGCCTTTGGTGACTGCCAGCTAGAAATGTTGGGCCTTTGGTCACTCTTTCAGCTTCATTTTCTCACCAGATTGCATCTGGAGAATCAGAACCTTCGGAAACTTAGGGCATGCACCACCAATGCGAGCTTCAGCAGAAAAGGCATCAAATAGAGAAATCGGCCTACTTCACTCTTGGCAACGAGGATGAGAAGAGATAGATGACCCGGAACAAGACATGACGCCACCCCTTCGTCTACTTGAGACGCTCACCAAAGATTCGTTGAACATACCTTGGGCCCAAGAAACAAACCAATATGGTGGCGTTCTGCAAAACAGGTAGTAGGTACAATCAGTCATTGTGTTCTTCACTCTTGCATATGCAGAAGGCACACGTGACAGTTGCAATGACAACTTAAAATTCTGATTTTGCAACTACGAACGGAATTGGTGTAGCATACCCCCTATCGAGAAAGGAGGATTCGGTGGGCCGCGCTCTAGAAAACACATGTCTTGTTATATCCTAATTGAGTGCATTTTGAAGTGAATTGCGTGTATGCCATAAGCAGGCTTCCAGCCAAGGGTGACAACTCCCAAACAATCCACAGGTTTCTTGGGTGAAGGGCGGTGTTCAAGTGGAGATAGATACTCAGCAGGTGTTCCTTCGACCGGCGGGTGGCCTAATGTCCCTACTCTGCCTCAATCCACCAACGCTTGGTCACTCACATGACCCACGTATTTGTGAGCAACAGTAAGGTGGTGCGTGTCTCAATCCCAAATTGTATGAATCTGAGACCAAGCAAATCGTAGATGTCGCCGGTCAAAGCAACGTAAACGACGGCCACAGAACCCAATATTTTGGCTGGACAACGCACCAATTCAACAACACGTCAAAGTCAAACTTGTCGTGTATTTATTTGTTCCCGTTTTTTTTCTTGGTAAACATCGTCCTTTTACATATACACATACATATATATATATAATATACATATATATATATATATCATACGTATGTGTATATATATACATATGACAAATCTTCCGGAGACCTCTTCCCCCTTTCCCGGCCAGATGCCTGGCAACCAGCAGGCCTGGTTCTCAAAAACAGGGCACACTGAAGTTGAAGGCCGCCGGCTGTTGCAAAACTTCAACCAACAGGGCTTGAGGCTTTTTGATTTGAGCCACCTGTCGTGGCTGTGGGTCCAAAAAAGGTACCCCAAATGGAACCCTAGTAAGGGGAAACATGGACCAAAACCTGCGGTGCCCTGGTGGTTTAATTTTGACCCATACAGTTGTATCCTGCTAGGCAAGTGTCTGGCCAGCACCTAGTTCACGCAAGGAACTCACTGAAGGAACCGCTCCAAGTGGAGAAAAAACCATCAAAAGGGAAGTGTGGGGAACTCTGGTCAATCTGTGTCATGGGCATCTTGGGTGGGCATGGTTCTCCCTGGCAGCGCGCGAAACAGTCATGACTATGTCGCCCCCATGCCATGCCACCTACGGCATGACATATTTGGTCACGCTGCCCCTACCATCTTCAGTCACAATGGGACGCTTTTGAGCAGAAGCGGGAACCGCTTACCTATCCTGGCTTGGCACTTGCTGGTACCGGCTGCTGGCCAAACACTTGCCGAGCAGGATGAAACACGAAAAAAGCTCCGCTAAAGCGCCGCCAAACCTCAAGATCGCCCCCTTGGTTGCACTTTGGTAGAAAAGCTGCAAGCAGCATATGTGCAAGGAGTACACACAATGGAGCTGTCACCTCAAGCCTACTCAAAAGGATTCATCCATATTGCGTCTTCCCATCCCCAACGCAAGAGGCACCACCCACACAAGCAAAATGGCCGTCTCCCGACATCTCAGTGCATTGGGAAAGGGGGTCTGAAATTCGACACACGCTTCTAAGCCTCTTTCCGCGTCTCAGCATCTAAATATCATCTACATCTTGCTTAGAGACTTGGGCTGTCAAAAGATTAAGCTGCTGCATTTCTTGCGAATCCGCAGTTGCTTGCCTTCTTGAAAAAGGTGCCACTTTTGGGACAACCCGTTTTTTTACGGACGGGCTTGCGGATCCTGGAATCCAGCCATTCTGGTCCAAAGTCCCGTCTTCCTCGCCTCCAGCTGCGACACACCCAGGGTGACCTCACGTAAAGCGGCGCGGGGCGTGCAGCTTGAATCTTGCGGAGCCGAAGGCAAAGCTCTGCAAACCAACATAAACCACAAAATAATGTTGACCCTGGATTAATAAACCCCAGTTTATTAATATGGGGGTGTCCCTGATTTTAGTGGGGATTTATCACTGTTGGAGAAAAACACCCCGATATGAATAGACTGGGGTTTAGTCTTCCGGGGTCAACAATACTGGGCCCTTTGTGATCCATGTTGATGTTGGCTAATGTTGATCTGTTGATGTGGGGGCTTAACCACAAATCAACATAGCTTTGAGAGGCCCCTTTTTGTGAATATGTTGAAGGCTTCTCAGTTGCGGGTGATGTCCCTAGCCGCAATTTTGAGTCGGTTTTGTCAATATTGTCCTTTCCAGTTCAGTCCAAAGTATGCCAGACTTAGACCCTTGCAAAAGTCACTGTTTGATCTGGTTGTTGGTTCAAAGGCAAAATGTAGGACAATCTAACAAGCAAAAAGTTGAAACAGTAAGAGCCTGGCAATGAAACGCAGTCGCCCCCGCACACCGACTCCATGCCTGCCTCTGCCTTGTGCGGGCTACGCAGCTCCGGCCTCAGAGTTCGACAGCATGGATGGGAGGCTGACAAGGTTGGCCAACTTAGGTAGTTGAAAAACAAGGTCTGGTCCAGTCTGATGTCAGGTCTGGGGCCATAGGGTTTGCACGAGGAGCAAACGTTGCATCAGCATCCGCTGGGTCTTACGGCCCGAGATATTGAACTGACCATCCGCGGGTCCCCGGGCAACTGAGACAGAAGGCCCTCCAGCTGTGCAAGTGTGGCTTCCCGCCAGCTGTCCGGCGCCTGAGACACCAAGTCAAGCTGAGAGGGCAAGGCGCTCTCAGGGCTCCCAACATTCCCCTGGTTGGGATTGAACTTTGCCTTTTTGGTCGGTTTGAAGTAGTTGAGGGAGTTGTCCTTTTGGTGAGGTGATGTTCAAAAGGGGAATGTAGGTCAACCAGTGCTGCCTTTGCTGGCAGCTCAGCGATCAAACATGCACCCACTCTTTCCCTCCCTCTTTCTTTAGCTGCAGGGGACAATGTCTCTCTCTCTCTCTCTCTTTCTCTTTCCCTCTTGCCACAAATCTTATATCACGGGACGGAGAAGCAAACTCTGCCGCCTTTTCGATCAGCATCTTCGGCCACAAGTCAGGAAGGCAAGTGGAAATCATGAACCCCGAGCCAAGCAAGAACAACTTGTAAGCGTTGTAAGTCACGGGAAGTGTTTTGAGTGTTTTGACCCCCTTGGAGTTCAGGCTTTGCATTTTGGGGCACTTTCAGGCCACACGCTGCGCGTGTCTACACGCCGGTTCCGATCTTCTCACTTAGCAGCTTGTCCCACATCAGCCTCAGTGACGCGAGTTATCTAGCCAAGGATGTGGGGTGATTGGGCCCACAGCTCCCTGTTCATCAGGGAGTTTAATCATTCCTGGCTTAACTCTCCCAATGCTCATGGCTAGCCATTCAGGTTCGCAACACCTCGACCAAAAACGGAAATCCGCACTCCATCTCTCCATCCTGAGCACCAAGCCAACCAGCTTCAGCATCAAAAAATACCAGTGGTTGGCTATGAATTTCAAGAGGAAACACCCTCACAAATGCTAGATGGACATAATCCCCCACAAAAATGGTACCCACCAAAGGGGCCCCAACGCTGAAAACAAACATAATTACTGAGTTCAAGCATGACCTTTTGACCTTGTTTGGGGGGACCCGAATGCCACCCAATTTTGCACCCCGTGCAAGTAAACATGGAACCTCCCCGAGAAGGAGATTCCTTGAAACACAAATGTTGTCTAGGCCGTCCCGCGAATTATTTTTGCGTGGGAGCCGTCTGGTTGGTGTCTGGTTGATTTCCCCCAGAACATCCCAGAACCGCTTCACGACTCGCCGCTTCGCCCAATCGAATCGAGGTGCAGCTGCTCGTTCAAAGAGGACATGGCCTGGTGATAGTCCTCGGCGAGGCGGCCCACTTGGTCGTTCAGCTGCACTGCAGCACCCACCATGACCTCCAGCAAATCACAATGTTGCGATGGGGGAGTGGGGTGGGGTGGCGAAGTCCCCCAATTTCATGTTTCTCCTCCATCAAACCACAGTCGGTGCTTCAAAAGTTGCCACGGCATTTTGGGTCCCGATAAACTCCCTCAAGAAAACACTTCCACTTGGTGGGTTTTTGGAACCAAACAAAAAGGGGAAAACGGGCCGAAGCCCTCCCTGGGGGATAACCTCGCCTGGCCAGCAACTGTATGCCTGGCGCCCCGAAAGGTCGATCTCTGAGTTGGAAGTCTCCCTGGCAAAAAACATCATCTCTTCTCACAAGGCTTCACGCTCCTGGAGATCCGATTTTTCCCGGAACCTGCCAGGTGCAGTTTGAAGAGTCAAAAGCTGGTGGCACTGAAGGATCCCTAGTTTTGGCATTGCCATAGTCCGAATGACGAATGTTATCCCAAAGACCAGGGGCATCCGAAGGTTGTCATGCTCAATGTCTCCCGCAGTAGGTGAGGTTTTGTCAAAATCGACCGTAGCTCCATTTGGGAGCAACATGGGGGACTGACTAAATTTGCGTCGCAACACACCAGCGGAGTCACGAATTTCCCCATGTGCCAGCCCCACCAGGACCCCAAGCGCCTTGGAGCAAACAAGTCCCAGGGCTTAGCTTGATTCGTCTTTACATTTCGGAAACCAACAAAACGGTGGGCTCAAATCAAGAAGCCCTGCTTGTGCCATGGCCAAGCTCTCTTGCCCATAGCTAGACTTCCATTTGTTTAAGCCCCCTGGAAGAATGACTATATATCTATGTACCCCACAAATGTTGATCTTTTTGTCTGTCTTCAGCTGTGATGCCAATCACATCTGACTCTGCAAAAGGGAAAAGACTGTCCAACTCAGCCGTTTGAACCATTTAAACAGTTTGAACCCTTTCTCAAAGAAAAGGTCTGGGCCCAAAACCGTTTGAACCGTTTGAACCGTGTGAACCCTCTCTCAGGTGGAACCCTGGGCAAGGGAGGGCGGCTTTCATTTGAGAGAGGGTTTAAACTGTTTAAACGGTTTAAATGGTTTAAACGGGTTTGGTTGGAACCCTGGAAGGGCGGGCCCTTTCCTCTGAGAAAGGGTTAAAACGGTTAAAACGGTTGAAACGGTTTTGGGGCCCTGGCGCTTGGGGAGTAGGGGGTGGGGGGACGTTTCCTCTGAGAAAGGACTGAAATTGTTGAAATGGTTATCACAGTTTAAAAGGGTTGCAGGCCTTGGGGGGGTCTTTCCTCTGAGAAAGGCTTTAAACGGTTTGGGGGCCCTGACTCTCTTCTTTGCTGTTGTCTGGCATCTTCTGACCAAACTTCAGCTGAAAAATAGGACAAAGGCAGATTCAAACCGACTAAAAGTTCATTCGGGCCTGGATTCAAGATTCGTTGGAACTGTTTTTAACCTGAAGCTTGCAATTTGCGTTGCTTTCCCCAAAGCTCAAAAAAAACAGAACACACGGCAAATACCTATCAACTCTGAAAAGTAGTTTAAGTAGGATGTCCTTTTCCCAGACGGATTTTAATTGGAATGTTTATCAAATTAGACTTTAAAGGCGTCTCCGTTCTTCCTTTGAACTTAATAGGGAAGCAGGATGTTCCAGTTTAAAGAGAAACTAAAAAGGTTTTCCTGTTCAAAGAAGATGTGTAATAAATTCGCCTCGGCCCCAAAGCGGCCAAGGGCGCTCAGATCTCTTCTGCAAAGAGAATCTTCGCTTTTCCCCTCCCCCAACCCCCGGCCCAAAATCCTGTCCGGCGGGCCTTGAAATTTTCGGGGTTCGTCGGCGTCCAGCTCCATGGGTCCATTTTTGTCGAAAATCACTAAAAAATGCTTTGTTGTGCTGAAAAGCATGACCTCCTGCTGGCCAGGCCTGTCTGACGTGTCTGAGACTAGGCTCAGGCCCAGCCCAACCAGCAACCCGCCTGCTGGCCAGGCCTGTCAGCCCAGCCCTTGTCTGAAACAGGCCTGGCCCAACCAGCAACCCGCCCAAGCACGGCCCCAAGTCATCCAGCAAGCCCAACCCAGCCCAACCCCACTAGGCCGGCCCCCAGCTCCCAGCCCACCAGCAGGCTCAGCCCAGCGTGCCAAGCGGGTCTGAGACTGGCCTCAGGGCCAACGACCAGTCTCACGTGTCTGAGACTGGTCTCAAGCTACGCCAGCTACTAAGCCTGTCTGACGTGCCCCAGCCCCTCAGTCCGGCTAAGCACCTCAGCTCAGCCCAGGCCGACCTCCTGCTTGCGTCTGGCCCCAAATCAGCAGGCCCAGCCCCTTCAGCGCCCCTCAGCCCGCCTGCTGGCGTGTCTTACGTGTCTGCGACTGGCCTCAGGCCCAGCCCAGCCAGCAACTCGCCACCCAGCCTCAGGCCCAAGTGTGTATGAAACAGGCCTTGCCGCATCCAGCAACCCGCCCAAGCACAGCTCAGCCCAGCCCGTAGTCCGGCTGCCCGGCAGCCAGCAACCCACCCTGCCCAGCCCAGGCCCCGGCGCATCTCAGGCATGCCAGCCACTAGGCCGGCCCCCAGCTCCCAGCCCACCAGCAAGCTCAGCCCAGCGTGCCAAGGTCAGGCCTCAGGCCAACACGTGTCTGCCAGCTACTAAGCCTGTCTGACGTGCCCCAGCCCCTCAGTCCGGCTGCCAGCCCTTTCGGCGCAGTCTGAAATTGGTTTCAAAGTATGCCAGCCTGAGACTAGCCTCAGACTAGCCCGCCTGCTGGCGTGTCTTACGTGTCTGCGACTGGCCTCAGGGTCAGCCCAGCAACTCGCCACCCAGCCTCAGGCCCAAGTGTGTATGAAACAGGCCTTGCCCCCATCCTTGGCTTCGTCGTGGCTGAGACTAGCTTCAGGCCCAGCCCAACCAGCAACCCACCTCAGCCCAGCCTGCCCAGCCGGCATCTGAGAGCATGCCAGCCACTAGGCCGGCCCCCAGCTCCCAGCCCGTCTCACGTGTCTGAGACTGGTCTCAAGCTACGCCAGCTACCAAGCCTGTCTGACGTGCCCCAGCCCCCCGGCCCCAAGTCATCCAGCAGGCCCAGCCCCTTCGGCGTCTCAAGGTATGCCAGCCTGAGACTAGCCTCAGGCCCAGTCCCTCAGCCCGCCTGCTGGCGTGTCTATTGGGGAGATTTTTCCGGGGTACTTAAGCAAATGGAGGTTTGTATTCCCACCATGTACCTGTCTTGGGCTGAGCAACCGAGCAAGAAATGTATGTCATGGCAAGCCGCCAGCCACGTGAAATGGAGGTGCCCAAACACCCAAAGTTGGTCTTGGTTGTTCAGTGACACCAATTATTGTTCCCCTTTTTATGGAGGCCAAGCCCCACTAAAAATGCTCATCCCCAGAAAGAGGTCCTTTTTTTTCCAAGGGCACTGAGCAGCTGAGATAGTCTTGGTTTTGGATTTCAACCTTCCGAGCAGGACGGCTTCCGAACATCGAACTAGCACGGGCGAACTGGTGCGGTCACAAGCTTTCAGTAGGATTCGGACCTTCCCAACACTGGATTTCGGTGTTCCTGACCCTTCCCTCAAACTAGGCTGGGCCGAGGCGGGCAACGCGAAGCGTTTACAATTAAAGCCCTTCCTTTAAAACAAGCCTATCTAAGTTTTCGTTTAAACCATAAACTCTACTAGAATTATGTCGCTATTAAATCATATTCAATTATGATCAAACACTAAAAATGAAAACGTTCAAATAATAGTTTCGACTTGTTCAAACTAGATTCTAAAGGGGGTTTCTTTTTCTATCATTGTGCATTTAATTATCTATGAAATTCAAGTAGAGTTTAGTGAGGAAAT